AGATTGACTTTTGTCTCGACACACACCAGACATATTTCTCCAACACATACGAGTATGAAAACTAAATTGTTCGCGTATCGTCTCGCGTCACGAAGCGTGAAATGTCACCGCAACTCGCTCAATTTATCCTCATTATACTCATCGACTACATCCACCGATTATAATTATCACACGAAGAGTAATTCGCCCCCAAAATTTTCCGCACTTTCTTTTCCGAAGAGAAGGACACTCACCTTCGCAGGTAAATTGTCCGTAATGCTTGCCGCTGCTCTTGTCCCCGCAGACGACGCACTCGATATTCGGCGACTTGTCCGTTGCGAGCTGCCGGACTGCGAGCTGTTGGCCTGGCTGCCAGGGGTTGTGCTGGGTGGCAGAGGGTCTCTCGAGGTCAGGACCGAGCCGGCCGGCACCAAGCAGGTGATATCCTCCGGCGTCGCCGAGGGCGTGAGATGCGCGGGCGGCATCGGCGGCGGACCTACCTGAAGTGGTCCGCCGCCGCCGCCGCCGCCGGCTGCGCCAGGGCGCCCGGGGTCCCGCGAGGCCCAGGAGGGCGGCGGCGCGACCAACGCCATCGAGGCGGTGGTGCCGCGCGCCGGGAACCCCAGCTCCAACGTGGTGGGGTGAACTCGGGGTGGTGGTGTCCGGCTGGCACCCGGCAGGGGAACAACCGTCGCCGTCGCGGCCGGGTAAACCACCCGGCAGTCGCCAGGGCGTCCGCGCCTACCGTCCCGCCTCGAACCACCCTGACGGTTTCCCGCGACCGACGACGACCGGCTGTGTCCGGGTCTTCTCCGACCAGAATCGTCCGGTTGAGTTCCTTAAGGTGGATTTAGCTAGGCTTCGTAGGATGCGAAATTCTTGCGCGGTCTGTGTCCTCGATAATTGATTTCGGATTGATTATTTCGGATGTCGTCGTTTGGTGTAAGTTAGTCTCTTCATTCGCTTGTTCTGTCCTGGACATGTCTGCAGGTGGACACGCATAATCGCGAAATAAATCCTACGGGAGATGTCCGACAGTTATCATATTTCAGATGAACTCGGTTAGATCGACGTAACATTATTCAATTATCAGACACGTAGATATACTTGAAGATATCGAACTTCTTCGACTATGATTCTTCCAAGTAGTATTCTCGATCGCTCCTGTTTTTAAATCTTCAGTAGGTAGGTGAATTACTCAGAGATCGAAGGTACGTCCAAGTTTCGATTTCCTGTGAAGATGCTTTAAGCCAGATTTCGCAGTTGCGATCAGCCTCCTTATCGCTCAACGCGGCATCAACCAAGATATCATCTCGCGAGAACTTTCGGTGAACGCGCGTAAACGGCGATCGCGAACGATACAACAACATTGAAACAGTAACAATTTCGGTCACACTGTCACCCAACTCGCAGGCACTTCACTCTTTTTCACGCGCACGTCGCGATTTCCCGAGGCGAAAGGTCTCGCGTCAAAGACACCAACATCCACCAAACACGCCGCTCGGTCTATCCCAGCTCGTCAACTCTCGGAGCATCAAGTTGACGACACACGATCCACCGGGGGAGGGTTTGAAGAGGGAGAAGACAAAGTAGGTTCGGACTATGAACCCAGAAGAGTTCGAAGGAGGAAGAGTTCGTCTTCGAAGCACCGCTTGAATGTTTCCCGTATCAGAAGATACGTCAAACCTCACTCCGATCCGCGTGTGTGCGTAGTGTAATCGATATAACGTGTACGTCCTCAGAAGAGTGACACTTGGCGTTTGCGCGCGGGTCTCGCGTGTACGTCCGCTCGCTCGCGTGCGCGTGTACTTCTCGCGGATGCGTGTTGCGCGATGATGACGGTGTGCGTGATGGTGTTGTCCTCGTCGCGCGCTCGCAGCGCCGGGCAGCAGCAGCAACAACGGCGGCGGCGGCGGCGACAGCGGCGGCGGTGGCAGCAGCAACGGCAGCAACAACGTCAGGCAGCAGGAGCAGCAGCGGCCCGTGCTGTAGTAGTAGTAGTAGGAGGAGGAGGAGAAGGAGAAGAAGAAGAAGAAGAGAGGTGATACTCGACTACCGCCTCGATACGACTATTTTGGGGCCGACCAGAGACCGACTGCCGACTAAGGCGACCCTGACACCGACCTGGCTCTCCCACCATCGCAAACCCGCGAGGGTTTCTCGCGGTTCGCAGGTTTCCATGGCTACCGAAGGTGGGGTCGAGTCCCGGGGGCCCTGGACGATCTCTCATTGGCTACGGGTCTGCCCTACCCTGTGTAGTTGAACACCACGCGTTGCCCGACCGAGTAGTTCCGTACACGTACTCCTATATGGTCCCTTTCTACTATCAGCGTCGCCGATATCTTCTCCTTCCCTTTCTCTCTCGAGCCCGATTCTCCTCTCTCTCTCGCGTCGCGTCGCTCTCCTCTATCCTTCACGTCTGCCGCATCTACTTCGTCCTCGTCTATCCCTCTCCCGCTTAGTCCTCTCCGTTCCTTCTCATCTCTCTCTCCTTTTTCTTCTCGTATGCGAACTCGATCTCAATTCGTCAACGCGCTCAGTTTCTTGTTTCTCTCTCTATCCTTTTTTTTCTTGTATTGCGAACTCGACGAACAAGCGGTCCGCAGTTCTCCTGATCGCCCTCGTCCTCTCCTTCACCCTCGTATCCCACCCCTCTCTTCCTCGTGATCTCCTCTCGTGGACCGAGCTCTCCAGATTCTTCAACCTGCTGATCATATTACTACGCTTTTTATCAAACCGACCGCGACTGCTACCACGAATCTACATCGTTGTTTCTAAGCACCTGTCGACCAACTTCTGTCTTCTCTCGGGAAGAGGTCATATTCACTAGATTCAACCTTGGACTCGTTTTAAATCTCGCGATTCCTATCGTTTTTCGCTTATCCATCTGCGATTCATTTCCTTCGATCGTTGCTCCGATAAATGTCGCTGCCGTTGCGAATAACAATCTTAATTAAACTGTTCCACTTTTCCATTTTACGATCTTATATCATTTTTTATTTTACAAAAAAAAAATAATAATTTCATCACACACATTATCGTAAAAGTCCGTTGAATTAGCCGGCTGGTAGAGACGAGCAACTATCTATCAGAGAAGGATTAACATTTCATCCGGATCTTCGGCCGTCTCTTTTACTTTTCTTCTCTGGAAAAAGGTGGAGGAACGCGGCCGTCCACCCCGTCGGTGTCAGAGGCAGCCAAGGGAAGAGAGGTCAGAGCAAGAGGGCGGTAGCCAATGAGGACGTGGAGTCAAGTGGGGCGCGAAAAATGGGCCGGCCCGCCTTCCATCCACCCCCGGGGGCTAGGGGTGAGGGTAAGGGTGCAGAGTAGGGCTAGAGAGGGCTCCGAAGGCGGCCGGGGCATCGAGGTAGGGTCAGTCGGGTCGCAGCCCTGCGCCCCTACAGCCTCGCTCTTGTCATGCTCTTTGCTCTCTTCTCGGATCTTGCTCGCACTTCCACGCTCTATCTCGTTCCATCGTCTTCCTCCTGCAATGCGTCGTCGTACATAGTTTCTCCGAGCCGATATTCGCACCGTCCAATCTTCCTCTTCAACTTTTCCTCGGTTTTTCACGTCTCGTAGACGATATCAATTTAAATTGACATATTTCGCGTAGTTTGGTTCATTGTCAAATTCGCAATTATTTTCTCTTTCCCTCGTTCTAGGTCGACTAATCTTTTATGCAATTTTCTTATGCTATATTAAATCTTTTTTAGATAATTAAAAAAAAATTAATCATCAATACTGAATAAATTAAGTCTCAACTACGTTTTCTCTCCGCTCATTTCCCCCCATTCAAACATAAATTTATTTTATCTTAAACGGATGTAAAAAACACATTGAAGTTAAAAAAAAGAAGAGAAATTTTTCATTACATCCATCAATCATCTTATCCCACATTCCGTTGCCAATAAACTTCGTCGTCAACATTCTTATCGCGCAGTCGTTCGTTCTCTGCCGCTTTTCTACGTCGCAATCGAACCAAAGCGGGCGCGTAAGACGATCTTCTCGTCAAGGAACGAAATCGAAAGAAGGCATCTTCGGTGCGATGATTCGAGCGCGAAGAATTCGACCTTTCGATCCACCGTCGGAAAGCGCGATTCTTTTCTTCAAGTTGCGTGCACGCAAATAGCGGAGAATAAATAGTCGACTGGGCAGACGTGCGGAAAAACGAAAGACGAGAATACGAGAGAGAGAGAGAGACTACGAGAAGCGAGTCGCTGGCATTTGCGCGCTCTTGAACCGAACTCGATAAATGCGACCTCTGAACATCGTGGACGTTGTTGAGGGTCGAATTTAGGCTGCAGTCGCGTCGAATTTCGCGCGTCGACGTTCCACCTGACAAACGTCATCGCCTCGACGTTTCGCGATTTTATTTCGTCGATGCAATGTCGCTTTGGATTTATTTTTATATTTGTGGTACTAGAAAATTAAAATATAAAAAGATATGCAAAATCTTTCCACTTTGTTCTTAATTAGCCCGATTTTATATTCCCTTAATATTTGTTTATTATATATTAGAGAAGTTTTATTTCTGTCATTTTGTCAAAAATTTACAATAAATTGAACTACGCTCATTTATAATATAAGTGACATCTTTGTACGCATCGTTCAGAATAATTTACTAAAATCATTCTTACATGCCACTTCGTTTTATTTCGAGTCTTCGATCAATACTTACTATTACAGCACATATATAAGATTTTTAACATAATTTAATAACTTGTACAGATTGCAAGTCAAAATTGATAAGTTTAAAAATTTCTTTATATATCATATGTAAAAATATGAAAAATTCTAAAAGTAATGTAAAAAAATAATTTTGTCATGATTTTGACATAAGACAGAAAAGTTTGCTATAAACGTCAAAGAGATAAATAAACATTTTATTATATTTTACAACATAAAAATGTTCTCATATTTTTTAATAATTTTCTGTTCGCGCCGTTTTGAAAAAAACCTGAGATCCGGTAACAACCGGCACGGGGAGCATTGAAAAATTTGAAATCGCCCGAGGCATTAACCACCGTCAGTGACGTCCCGTGGTGAATCCAAGAACGACCTGCGGTGTAAACCGCAGCCCCCGCAACTGCCGCCTGGGGGTGAGCGAGCGTGCGTAATAGTTACAGGAAGGGGTACGTATATATATATGTGGTCGTCGTGAGTATACGTCGATAGGGTGGAAGTCCCGGTGATGAGTCGAGGGCGAGGACGAGCAGGAGCGCTGCGTACAAGTGCATATCGGTGAAGGGGTGCCCGAACAATGCGCTCATTCAATGCGCTCTAGATATGATTACCGGAAACCATCCCGTAATTACTTTTTGTACATCGAAAACGCACGAGTCTCCCTCCTTCCTTCAAAAGCTACCCCCTTTCTTTCCATCCCTGTCGCCTCACGCAACGACCTTTCTCTACCCTCTCGATCGGGCTTTTAACCGGGCTCGCCGGGTTCTCAAGACGATTTATCGAAATTGTCGCACTTCGCGGTGCAGCACTTCGCGCCACGTGACTATTTTGCAAAGTGCTCCCGTATTCATCCGAAAAAAAATCCAAAGAGAAATTAAGTCTTATTATATAGTACGATTTCTTCCCTTTC